TTGTTATTCAAACTTAAAAAGGTTGGAGTGGGGGGTAAACTGTTAGAGTGGATAGCGGCGTTCTTAAGCCACCGGTCGTTCAGAGTTCGAATTAGTAACGCATTTTCACTGCCACAAAACGTGCCTAGTGGTGTTCCCCAGGGATCGATGCTGGGACCGGTGCTATTCTTAGTGTACACCGTGGATTTGCTCTCCAGCATTGATTCTCATGTGAGCGATTATGCTGATGACACTAAAACACATGCGGACGTATTGCAGAGAGACTTGAATACTATTTCCAAGTGGTGTTCAACTTGGCTATTGCTGCTGAATGCTCAAAAGTGCTCTGTGATGCAGGTTGGCAAGAACAATCCCGGTTTGAATTATTATATCGATGGAAACTTTGTGTCAAGTGTCGATTCTTAGATGGACCTAGGTGTGACAGTAACTAACGATCTTGCGTGGTCTGCACGTGTATCAAATATTGCAAAGAAGGCAAACTGCGCTTTATTTTTGTTAAAAAAGACTTTTAAAAATCCTAGTCCTCGCATCGCTTGCAGGCTTTTCACCACTTACATTCGCCCCATCCTGGAATTTGCTTCCCCAGTCTGGAACCCATGGCTATTGCGTGACTCTGATGTTCTGGAAAAAGTGCAACGAGCCGCTATGCGCTGGCCACTTCAGCTTAGGCATACACCTTACGACGACCGTCTAAAAATGCCAACATTAAGTCAGCGTCGGCTGCGAGGGGATCTCATTCAAATGTATAGGTTTGCGCATGACCAATTTCCATCTGACGTGCCCCTTGTGGTCTTAAGCAATGATGAACGCCTACGTGGTCATCCATTTAAAATAAGCAAGGAACAATTCAGGACTTCACATCGCCTGGATTTTATAAGTAACAGGACTTTTAATTATTGGAACAGTTTACCTCCAGAAGTTGTGTGTGCGCCGAACTTGTCTGTATTTAAACGTCGCTTGGACAGTGTATTGTTTCACAGCAATAACTAAATGTTTATTATATGTGTTGTGTTACTAACTATCAATGTGCATAATAGGTTTTCCTCTCCACTTTATTCTTAGTAATATTATTAATAATAAAAAAAAATAAGCTTTGGTGTTACTATGGTATGGCGAAAGTGTAGGAATCAGTGACCATGATTATTTTTGTTAGTGTGTTCAACAGAAAGAAATAGAAACAAATTGTGTATCCCAATCTCGACTCTGCAATTCGAGCAGTTCCTCATGGGCCAGATGTACCGACACCTACCGACCCTAAAGAACTAGTCGTCAGAATCATAGAAATCTAATTCAGACCCAGATGACTCAAGTTTCACACTAGATTTCAGTGTTTAACCAGAGGAAATTAAATGATTTAATCAGAGATTTGCACCTAGTATAGTATAGTATAGATCGCAAAAAAGAGTTTTGTCAATATTTTACTCAGGAGGGACCAATAGAGTATTGCAACAATATTCCTGACTAGGATCCTAACTAGAATTCCACTTTTTTACTGAATACAAAATTATCGTTTTTTTCTTTAATATTTGTAAAAAAATCCTTCCGTGATACAAATAAATGCATAGAATTTTTGAAATCAGCCTAACAAAATTCTATTTAAGGCTCTAATACTGTCTCATGCATAATCCCACTTAATTATGGTTACTTCTTATTCAATTGAATAACAAATGTTAGCTTGAATTAAACCACGTTTAATAAAGTATTACGATTACAAATATAAATATTGTTACTGTCATTTTACTGGTGATTTATTACCTAAACGATAATTATATTATACTCGGGAGGGACCAATAGTGTATTGCAACAATATTCCTGACTAGGGTCTTAATTAGGATTTCACTTTTTTACTGAATAAAAAAATATATTTTTTTTTCTTTAATATTTGTAAAAAACGAAATGGGCCTACTAAAATTATATTTTTTCGTAATACACACATTGTAGACCTGCGTTATTATTGTACAAACATTAGAGAAATATTCTATAGGTATTCATTAAAATGATCGTTGTTTAACTACACTCGTCGAATTGATCTACCTTTGTTATTCTGATACAAAATTAACCTCGCAAAAACGTAATTTGGAGCCCCGTAATTTAACAGAAATCTAATTGATATTCCGGTATTGTATTCCGGGTGTGTATCCAATTGCTTGCTGACGCAGATTCGCGCACTACTGGTCAACTCAATCGAAAATATACAGCGGGTTAGTTCATTTTTGTTGTGCGGTTTGGTTTGCTTTTGACTGTTTACTGCTCTGCATGTCGCTAACAGACTATTAAGCGGACACGTTTCCTTTGTATCGTTTTCGAGAGAATTGTTGAAATGAGTAAAAAATACGATTACGTGTATTTACTGACAACTTGAATTGGTTTGTTCGCCTACAGTGAAACAGGGCAATTTTTCAATAAGCTAAATTTTGATAAACAAACGTTTTATGGCAACTCTTTGCCGTGATAGTAAAATTGGAAATACGCTTACATCCTGGAATATTCATTTACAAAAACGCTCCTTGTAAAAGTTTTTGAATTCATTTTTTGACTTAAGCTCAGAGCTAAGGCAAACAACTCCTTTTTCTAATTAGCATAATACTCGTTTTCTGCACGATGCAATAAATAAAGAAAATTGTATTGACATTCAATATTAACTTACCAAATATTAGGCTTACATCTAGTTGACTTCTACCAGAAGTTTTAAATTTGACGATCAAATGAGTCGCAATAACGAAGACAATTATTTCCTCGGTATTTTTTTAAATGTAAAATTGCCTTGGCCAGTCTATATTCAGGGTAAATTATTAATAATTGCAAACATATAAGCTGCAGAGTCCTGGGGTCAAAACAGATTTGATGCCATTTAATCCAAAATCCAAAATTGGGGCTCCTTACTCTTTTACAAAGTGTACCTATGAATATTTGAAGATTATTTTTGAGCAGTAGTACTGCAAAACTATTGGATGTGTCCTTTAAATCCCAGATTGGATTGTGTTTTGAGAACTACCAGATGCATACGACGAGAGAAAATGGCTGGTTGACCCTCCTCAACTTATACGCCACTGGTGGCAATTTTCTGATTTTCTAATAATTTATATGTAAATAACATAGTGTTTCTTCGTAATTATAAAATCATTTCCTAAGTTTTTCCGCCATTCGATTGCCCCTAATTACGCAAATAAAATTTTAATTCATATTAGCTAAAAAGCACCATCTTATTTACTGAAAATCCGTTTTGTTACAATCTAAATGAAAGAACAATTTGAATTAAATGAAAATCTGGTCTAAGGGGTTAAATCTCCCATATTTTGGGTATCTCTCTGGGATTCTACAATTCAAATATACATAATTGAAACTTGAAAATCTAGCAATAAAAAGTAAATAATTAATAATGACCATTTCCGTCGTTCTTTCCAATATTCTTCTTTTTCATTTATGTTATTGAATCGAAATTGCTAGCTGAAGTTTCAGTTAAGCTTTGAAGAAGCTAACAGGATGATTGTCGTAACGTCAGCAAGAGCTAGAAACAACTAGGCTACAGTACTTTCATATCATTAGCAGTTCGAAAACTGCAAATAAGCTTATTCAATTTTGGTCGTTTTTATTTGAAAAAAATTATTTTAGAATGTTCTTTTAATCTTATTCTTGAAAACCTTCTATATCAATTGTTTAAATATTACAAAACAGTTATTTGTTGTGCAACTAGTGTAGAAAATGGTATTGAAATAATCTTTTCGTTATCAAGTAGCATTCGATAGGTAAAGTCTGTTCATAGATATAAGAAAGTGACCAATTGCTTTTGAATGGGATTATCATACAATGCAACAAGATTATTATCTAAAGTTTCGGAATTTAAATTCAGGTAAAATTGTGGTCCGTAATAGAAAATAATTTTATACCTACCTGTGTTTAATATTCTTTGGTTTGGTATACTACTTAGTTTAAGTTTATTAGTAATCATTCTTATTTCGTGTGTAATAGAGCGTGTGTTGAATAGTGTTCGAATTATGCAAAATATGTGCTATTGAGACTAAGGAAGTTATAAACAATGTTTATTTGATTCTCATTGAACATGGTGCCAGCAAGCAAGCATCTTTAGAAGAAACGGCCACATTGACGAAAATTCCAACGTCAATTGTATGGAAAATTATAAATAATCCCATTTCAGCGAGGAAAAAAAGAAGCCATGCTGACATTTTCTCGAGTGTAGATGAATGTAATCAAGATATAATACAGCGTAAAATTTACCAGTTATACGAGGAACAAAGGATTAGGTTGACTCAACTGATAAGTTTAAAACAAACGCGCCATCAAAAAGAGGCAAAAGAATAACTATTCTTTGCATGCTGGTTTTAATGATGGTTGGATTCCAAAAGGACTTTCTCTGTCTGCAAAAAATATTAAAGATTCTTCTCTGGATTATCATCAAGACACCACCGCTGATTTATTTGAAAGTTGGTTTAAAAACACCCTAGTTCCAAACGTTCCTCCTAATAGCGTCATTGTAATCGACAATGCATGTTATCACAGTAGACAGTTGTCTAAAACGCCTTCCTCATGTGACACAAAAGCAACAATCCAAAACTACATGTATAATAACGACATTTATATTCACGAAGATTATACCAAGAAGCAATTAATTGAGGTTCTACAGAGCTTGAACCTATATAAGGAATACGTCTGTGATAATTATGCAAAAAATCTAGGGCATAAATGTTTTTCCCCGTAGAGAAACCAGAAAGTTTAATTTAAGGAATTTAAATTTGGAAGAGTGAACAATTGGACATTTCAAAGTAGAGAGTAGAGAAAATATATATCCTTCAACAAGCAGTCCAGTCAAAATTCGATAATACCTTGTATAATTGAAAAAATTATAAAATTTTGTATTTAACTTTTTCATTTATCCATATTATCTGAGATTACACGTCGCAATATAAATAGATCACTCTGTTCATTAAAAATTCTTGCACCAACTGTCCCAAAAAAGAAATAATTTTGTTTTTTTTTTTCAGAAGCCCAGGCGGAGATTCAAGGCGCCCCAGAACTTTATATTAGAGCTGGTTCTTTACTTAAATTAGTTTGCACACTGAAGCATTCAACTGAGCCGCCCGCGTTTGTCTTCTGGTACCACGAACAACGTATGATAAACTACGATCCTGGAATCAACGTAAAAGAAGGTCGAAGTTCGAGCATCCTGCATCTTCAAGATGCGGACAAAAGTCACAACGGAAACTATACGTGTAGTCCATCAAATGCTGTTCCAGCTTCGATTAACGTGCATGTTTTGAATGCGACTGCTGGTAAGTTAATCTTATAATACCTTGGCCTCGAACTTGTTGATAAAATGACTTTTTACCAAATATATACTCATTAACTCATTGTTAGCAAAACATTTTTCTTCCAGTGAACACAATTATAAAAAGAACAATAATTTTATTTCTTTACCGCAATAAAGATACACGCCTCTGGAAATTATTATCATAAATTTGAATAATTTTATGAGAAAATAACCAAAATACCAAACTTCCTTCGATTACATATGTCGACTTATTTAGCAATACTTAGTTTGTACAGTGCTAGCTGAAATTGCCTTGTTGTAAACTGTTGTAAATGTAAACTGCTTAGGGTGGCACAAAAAAAATCGGTAGTTAGATGAGTGGCTGGCCCGCTAGCTTTACGGTACACATAACAATATTACAGTCATCGGTGTCGGGTTTAAATTATCTAGTATCTGTGAACTCTAACGGAATTAAAAATGCCAAACAGAAAGTGATTTTTTGTTCCAAAACGCATAAATACATTCATTATAACACCAAAAAAACTGTGAGTGTTCCACAAGCTCCTCTACACAGTCAAAAATTGGTTTGGCACGGCTCGGCGAGATGTGAAATCAGTTTCTTCCACGTCGATCATGTCGATCTGGGAAATGATATGGAAAACCACCTAGAATATAAGTTGAGAACCGTTCGAATCCAGATCAAACCTGAGATTGTACCACATAAATTTGCATGTCAGCATGCTCAGCGAAAGGTTTTCCTGAATTCAAATATATGTATTCCAAGTGGACTCCAAAAAAATAAATTATGAGATTATATTGAAAACATCACATGGTTCACATCACGAATGAAGCCAAAACAACGGCCCAAAAATCAATTTTTTTCATTGTGTACTTGGCTAATAATTCTACTTGGTAATCCTCGAACAAATCAAAATGAATTTCGATGAAAATTGACGAGGTTCCTAATATAAAGTTTAGGTAAGTACGATGATTTGTATATTTCTGTTAGCCTATATTTATATAATATACCTTGTATATTCTTTTTTTTAATATTGAAATTTTCGCAATGAGCCTGATTGCTAAGCCAATGCAAGAGGGAACATCGATTCGGCAGAATTGTTACGACCTGGCATATGTACCATGTTTTAATATCATAAATTTTTAATTAATTAATTAATTCAATTTTGGCCATTAGTGCTAAATAGAAAAAAATGTAGACGTAGAACAGCTTTATAACTACATATTATCTACTTCCCGAATTTGCCACTGCTTTGAGGTTCATTTAAATTTACTTTATTTGCCAAAAAATCCCACACCTTTTCCACATTGGCATGAAGTAAATTCCGCGAATCAGTACTTTGATAACCTCGAGGAATCGTGTTGGCATAAATAAATTACACACACGTTTATTAGAATCGTTACACTCTACCATATACTGCTCTACCTTACGTACTACGCGGCTAAAAGGAACACATTGGTATTAAATTATAACAATCCTCTTGATAAATTTCGTTACATTTTAGATAGCTTTGAAGGGGCCCCACCAGTAACTTTGGCAACCCTCAAACTGGTCAGTTCCTTCTTTAAGTCATCGAGCTGTTTTAAAAGGTGTCTTTTGTCCTCAAATCGGAACATAACATAACTTAATATCATAAACACGGAAAATATCACACAAATATAAGCATAGATTGAACATGCATACAAAAGCGGTCTGGCGCAGCGTGGCATATCTGGCTGCTGACGTCCTTGCGCAAAGGACTCGTTTTTTAACATCGCCTCCACCCTTAGTTTAAAATGTTTACAATCCGCGTAAATATCAATATTTTCAGCTATTTTTTTTGTATTTCTTCAATATAATAATTATACACTTTACGGATGTTTTCGGAGATATTTCCAACGCCTTGAATTTTTTCACGTTTGTCAATTCTGACGGTCCTGTATTCGTATTGTTTTGTGAAAATGTGTCCGAAAACTAACGGTCGTAGATAAAGTATAGTATGCAACGCGTTTGGTACACTTTTTAAGTCACTCGTTTATTAAAAACTCGCTCCGCTGCGTCCCGCTTGTGTCAAATAAACTCATGAGTAAAATGCCGTTTACCGCATTTGTTGCAGAATATACTATTCTAATATCCCAAAAGCGACTACTTACAAGTTTAGTCAAAAGTCGTTATTCCACAAAAGTCATTTAAAATTAAAACCAGATCGAATTTTTGACAGTCCGATCCATATTTTACCGTCAGGGATTGATGGTAGTATTTTTTTTGCACCTTTTAAGGATAGCCGTTACGATGGTTCCTTGACAAAATGGTATGGGTTAATTTTTTAATAAAAAATTGGAATATTTAACGCTTATCAATACCTTTAACTAAGTTGAGTTAATTAATTAATTTGAAATAATGAATTAACTACTTTTTTTGTTCACCAAGGGGCTTTAATTCGATTTTTTGCTGACAAGCAATTATCTATTGACAGAACACAACAAACTGCACAATATTTGGTACAAAAAATAAACATTAATACTATAATGCAGTAACAAACACACAAACATACGCAATATTTCCTCATATATTAAAATTTCATCGGTGAGTTCTTAAATCTGTTGTTATGGTAATAATATGCTAAAACAGGGAACGTTTAAAAGACAACCTTAAGCCCTTTGGTTTGCAAAATATTTTCCGTTGAATTATTGTTGAACTTTGTGTTTGGTGTAATTTGCGGAAGACCAATATTCGTTATTTCCAAAATGAACGCAGAATTTTAATGAAAGAGGAATAATTAATGAAAATGCTGATTTTATGGCAACATAGGACGAAAATCTTCAAAAGTGTCACTTAGAGCTAGCGCTGAAGCTAGTCTTATCGGTTTGGTATAATACTAAGTTTGTACAATGCTAACTGAAATTGCGTTTTTGGGTGGCATTAAAATCCATGATTTTCCCATGAATCTTGACCAGAAAGTTGTGAAATGGAAACTGCAAAGGTGGCTTATTGTTTTTCAAATAATATGTAGAATTAAATGTGTATAAAGAAAAACGTTATTAACAATGTGGCTACATTTTAAAAGTTGGATAATTTTAAGATTTTGAGAACGTCAGTTTCGAGATTTAAAGGCACACGAGCACAGTTTTTTCAAACAACAGTGCTATTAATTGTATGAAATACTACAGTCTGGTGGGCAAGGATGGATTGGTTAAGACTAGTTAGTTAAGCTGCACTTGTAAGTTTATAATTTCTAGTGACTCTCGTTTAATAATAATAATTTGTAACGAACCACCACTGCACCGATGATATCAAATTAACCGCAACGCTTTGAGACGGCCCGACGCAAAAAAACCTTTTGATCCCGCTCGGACCCCGGCACGGCACGACGAGTCCGGATTCCGACGTAGGGATGGTCCGATACCATTAAAGTATCGATACCTACTCATTTCGATAGTACTCAAATCTTTTTTCGATACTACTCAAATAAATACTCCTAAAGAAGATACTTACTCATATCGATACTTTTAGCACTTTATTATTTTTTAATTTATTTTAAGGAAACTAACAACGCCCTTTGAAAGACAATAATTAAAAGAAAATTAATAAAAGGAAATTTTTATTATAAACGTTTGCGTCCCGTTAAGCACGTACTTTAAAACAAAAAACTTCATGATAACATTGGGATAATAAGCCGATGATTACAATAAATAAAATTATTCGTAAGCAATCTCTTGTATGTTTGACAATTTATGTTGGTTGACAATGAAAAAAAATGAAGGGCGGACGTCTGTCTCGCTTTTGGCTCGGGTTCGGTCGAGTGAAGTCGGACGAGTTCGACTGGGCTGGCGCGAGACAAGGCGTCACCATAGATCAGATAGAGATTATGTTTATCTGATGCGTTCGGTTTTTTTTTATGGTGAGGCTGATTCGATTTGATACCAAGTACTTTTGTTTCGATACCGAGTAAGTATCGAAAGATTGATTCGATGCTATAAATACTTGGTATCGAATCAAAAGTATCGAGTACCTACTCGTATTTACTAGTATCGGAATATCCCTAGATGTTGTTCGACGGCGTTGCGCGACGGACGCGAAGTTTTTCGTTTTATTTCACGCAATTGTTAATGACATCGCAAACTTAGAAAAAATAGTAAGAAGACTGTTCCGTGTTTTCGTGCTACCCACTTTACCCCGAGAGGACCCCGTTCTCTTACAAATTTAATAATTCCGATTCTAATCAATTTTATTGTTGACTTATTATTAAGCAATAATTGAAAATCCCCCTGTATTCCAGGGAGACGTTAATAGTCCCGAAGTATAATTATTTAAAACGTTTGCCTTGTATTCAATAAAACAGATATTTCGTAATTGGCGGTTACCCTAAAATAAATGGAAAGCAATTTATGTGGAACCAAACGTAAATTATACCCTTGCCCTATAACTATTATTCAACAAGTTCGGACTGGAGGTGTCAATAATCCCTAATTATGCGATTTATTTTAATTATGTTCACTAAAACTTTAAAATTTATAAGTTATCATGGCTCATTGACTATTTTTTTTGTTTTTGAAATTTGAAAATTATGGAATTGTGGTTAATACTACGCGGGCTATTGGGATATCTATTGGATATTGTATACATCTAAATGAAACAAAAACAAAAATTGAACTAAAAAAATTAAAAACCTTAGTGTAGCAATAGCATTATTTAAATATTATTCTAAGATTTATTTTAAAACTCTCACCATTAATATCTCGAAGATAAGAGTTCCATGATGCCTGAGAGTAGATAACGAAAGCCGATTACACAGCAGAAATCGTGACATCCTCAAATCATAAAATCGCTGATGCTTGTAGGGGGCGCTCCGCCCTTGTGCTTATAGGGGAATCAAAATTGTGCTAGTTCCGTTCCTGGAAGTACTCCTTTAAGAAACAGATTTTTTAATGACTTACCAAAGAATACAAAACTGTAATTTCCGTATTTTGTTTAATTTTTCCGCATTATTTGAATTTTTTGAGCTTTGGTTTTATCTTTATTAA